CCACCGTGTTTCCCCAATGGAATGGTGTGTTCAATGTCCAGATGCAGTGGTTTGCTTACTAGAGCGCCCATCTTCCATGTTTTTGATATCTCCTACATAGCTTATAGGAGATTTTAATCGAAAACTGTTAAAGTTTTCTTCAAACAGTGTGGCCTTTGCCCTTTGACTATTCTATGACAACCAAATGAACACCGTGATGCTGATATGCTCACTAATGTTCTCTGACAAACCGCTATGAACAGATGCATTCAAAATGAGTTTGAATTGCTAAAAGTTGGAGTCTGCTAAATGATTAGTTGACGTTTAAAGGAAGTTGGCTTCAATATTTTATTTGCAGATGGTGACGGGCTGAAATCAAGCAGAGCTACATTTCAGATATAAAATGATTTAAAAAAAAAAGTATAATGGTTATAATTATAATTTGAAAAAAATGGGAAAAGATTTAAGGGATCTGAATCTTTGCCTGGCATTGTAGTGTTTCTTTTGAATGAAAATCATGTTAGCCCCACTAAGATCATTTTTTTTTTATGTTTTTATTGTCATTACACTGTCACAAGTACAGAGCAAATTAACTCTCTGCATTTAACCCTTCCCCTTGGGGAGCAGTGGGCTGCCACCGTGGGGCACCTGGGGTCTTGTTCAGAGACCCAGAGTGGCAGTCTGTGGGAGTGGGGGTCGAACTTAGAACCTCAGGATTCCTCTATGCACTAACCAATAGACCGCCACTCCCCTAATATTTGATTCTTTTAATAAGAGCAAAATACATTTTTGAAGTGGAATGTTTGTTTTCATAAGTTACTGATTTTCATAATATAGGTTTCATTTATCAGTTAATATATTTTGTGTTAAAACATTTTTGTTGCAATGTTTCATATGTTGTGACCCATCCCTGAGGAAGAGATGTCTGTTAATACACTTAGTTTCTTTTGTCAGGTGATCGATCATATATGACAGTTTTTTGTGTTTTTTTTTTTCATGTATCACTAGTCTACTTTAATCATTCAATATAAAATTCTAGTTCCCAGATTATATGATTTTATGGCCTAAAATCTATGTCTAACCTGCAGGGCATGAAGGAACTGAAAAAGCTGGTGGAAAGTTTACCTTCTGTAAACTACAACCTCCTGAAGTACATCTGCAGGTAGAGACTACGATTATTGACATTCAGTTTGTCGCAAATGTTTATAAGGTAAAAGTTTATGTATATTTGCCTTTTTTTATATAGATTTCTTGATGAAGTCCAGTCATATTCGGGGGTGAATAAAATGAGCGTCCAGAACTTGGCGACTGTCTTTGGGCCAAACATCTTAAGGCCAAAGGTAGAGGATCCGGTAACAATCATGGAAGGTAGGTGTAAAGGTGTTTATCACTTTGGTTCTGATTCCTTCAGTTTACGCCTGCTAATAGTTCGTAATCTAATTGTTCCAGGAACCGTTCTGGTCCAACAGCTCATGGCTGTTTTGATCGGCCATCACGATGTGCTGTTTCCCAGGGACGAAGTCAAACCCACTTCTCTTGAACTCGCCAACAACAACAACACTGAACCACAGAAGGGACAAGTCACCAATACTACCTCAGCAGTCAGCTCCCTGTCTCAGAATGCAGAGAACAACAACTCACAGCAGGCAAGGCAGTGTGTTTGGGAGGCGGCGGAGTCTCAACGGCAACAAGTCCACAACGGCGGCTCCCCACGATCTGTGAGTCCGAGGAATGTCATCACTGGACGCTATGAAATGACGCGCAGTCCACCCCTGATGGTGAAGAAGAACCCAGCGTTCAATAAAGGAAGTGGAATTGTTACTAATGGGTCCTTCAGCTCCTCGCCCCCGTCAGACTTTGATAGGACCCAGAACGTGACTCTAGGAGGGAGTTTGCCCATGCGACGAAGTGGGGCACTTAAAGGCCCCGGCACCAAAATGGGCACTAGTGGGGTGACGAGTGGAGGCAGTCCTTCAGCGAATGGGACAGGTACTCTTCGCCTGGGGGTTTCTGGTTCTGACATCATCACAGGAAGTCCAAGCAACCGTAATGGGCTTTGGGTCCCAAATGGCTGCGTCGCCCTCAGGGAGAACAGTAAGACCCGTGACAGTTCCAATAACGGAGATCAAACAACCAATCAGAACCGCCTGTCCACGTATGACAATGTCCAATTGAACCACCAGAACCTGCAGAACCAGATCACCAGCATGTGTCTGAATACCAGCTGTGAGGACAAGCAGAGTGTGGACAGCGCCACCTGGTCCACTTCCTCCTGTGAAATCTCCCTCCCAGACAACTCCACCTCCTGCCGCTCCTCCACCACAACCTGCCCAGAGCAGGACTTCTACAGTGGACCATATGAAGACCTGGACGGAGCGGCTCAGGAAGGCGAGCCTCCTCAGTCAGGGGGAGGGGGCAGGAACAGCAGCGGGGAAGGGAGCGGAGATGGAGCAGGAGGAAGCAATCGGGGCACAGGCAGTAGTGATACTAGTGAAGGTTTCCCTTTGGGTAATGGAGCTGGCAGCCACAGCGCTCTGCACAGTCTAGTGGCCAGCCTGAAACAGGAGATGCACAAACAGAAGACGGATTATGAGGCCAGGATTAAAAGGTTTGTCATTTAAGGATCTACTTCTTCAAAAAAATAGCAAAACAAAAGATTATACCCCCTTTGATTGGCCAAAAATTATCCGCACAATTAAGTAAACTACAACAAGCAATAACCAGATTTACACACCCTCCAAGTAATACTCTGTTAAAAGATTTTATGATATTATTCAAGCATTAAGCCTCAAGTTTTCCTGGTTTACCTCTGATGCTTTTTTCCCTACAAACTAGCAGAAGAATATATGGAGTAGTGCACTACTTTTATTCTAAAATCTTCTTTATGTTATAAATAACACTGAAAGCTGCTTTCAGTAACCTGAAAATTTGTTAAAAAATGTTTTACACTTTATTGCACTGACAATTTTAAATGCATATCCAAGCAAGTTTTTAAATGAGTGATTATCAAATTTACAATTCTAATCAGATCAGAGTGTGAGCATGGTACACAGTTTAATGACAGTCCAGCAGTTGTGGATAACTTGAGAGTAAGTTGAACTGCATTTTATAAAATTACATTTCTTAATAAGTATTAGTGCAGTGACCTAGCATTTTAAACTAAAGATTACACCCTTCAAGTTTTATTTGTGCCTTTTTTGAGTAGTTTTGCATAATCACACATATGTACATTTATTGATTGAGTCCTCAAATAATCTTTATTTGTATTTAAAAATGTTACTTGCCAACAATGGCTGTTAAAATGTAGACCATTACTAATTAATCACAAAGCCTCAAAATAATCTGATAGTTTATTTGTTGCAGTTCTTGATTTTTTTTTATAAAATTTTCTTCCATATAATTTTTTTCATTTCTATTGTATTTACTGGTATTCATTATAAATGAATTTTTATTAATTTTGTTCCATTTTTCTTACTTTTCTTTGGTCCCTTCAAGGACAGAAATGATTGTTGTACAGTCATTCCTAAGAGGCTTAGTAGGAACAGTGTGTTATAATTTATTTAGCAGGGTTGTTCGAATTGCGGTAACTTTTAAACCCGTGTTCCTTTATTCAACTTCAGACCCTGCACCTCTTAAACATTTCTCTGCTTCCCCACACCTGAATCTAATGATTTATTTACCTCCTCGGTTTGATTTCAAGGGTTAATTCTGAATTTGGCAAAATCTTGCTCCTTTTCTTTCACATGGCAACAATAAGAAGACTTTGAGGTAGGAAAGGAATTTCAGACTGCTGTGCTAAAGCCAGGGCAGCCATCTGCCTTAAGGATGCCCTTTTGTTACAAAAGACATGGATAATGCAAGTCAAAACTGGGACTAAAGCCTTTTGAAAAAGAATTACTAAAAACAAGTTACACAAATATAGTGAATGGCTGAAGCTCTAAATTATAAACCCCCCAAAATTTGAAGGTACTTGTGTTTGCATGTGTCACACATAGTACAATAGAGCGATGTATTTGTGTTAAATTCCATGAGATAGACTGTGTAGTTTCCTGTCATGCAGAGGATTTTGGCAATTAGTGTAGGTCCTAAGTGCCGCATAGGAACATTGATGTAGTATCAATTGGCAGCATCCTGCATCCTGGTCGTTCCTCCTTCCTTATTGCCTGCACTATTCGTACAGCTTCTATCACAGCGACCGCTAATGCACCATTCCATTGGTGCTTTCTGATTCGCCCATTACTAAAGCCAAAATTCTCTGAGTTCTGCTGGATTGTTAAATTCAGGTGTGTAAAGGCAAAGATGCGTAGGACAGGGTTATTACATATATTATGCGGCTCTGTAAATATAGATGACATATTTATCCGCTGATGACAGAACTATAGGTCCCTACACTTGCTGCTGGCATGTCAGTATTCAGAGGATACTGATTCAGTTTGTTTTAATTTTGTCAAAAGAAAGAAAGGTCAGAGATCAAGCTACTAGTGAAATAACATCTGGAACAGAAAATAAATAGAAAGTTCAGAATAAAATTCAGCAACTTGCTCCTTGAAACTCCTCTAATGGTAAAAATTTTTATTGATCTGTCTCCATGGTGTCTCTTTGGCTTTGTTATTAAATCAAATATTGAAGGTTTGGGGTCTGTCTAAATTCGTCAGATTAGAGTTTTACCATTAACATTTTTGTTACACTTGGAGATAGAGATGAGAGTGCGATGAAGGGATGACATGTGGTCAGGTGCTTCTGTATTAAAAGGAGATTTAGAAGAATGTTTTTGGGTTGGTTAATCTTGAACTTATGTTAAGCATTTACAGCATTTGTTACACCTCTGCCTCCATCAGAAGTTTTCATTGACTGTTTTCAGATCAAAATATTTTTATTTGTATTTGTATTATTATAATTGATATTTTATTGTCATCTTATTTTTATTTCTGTAACAGTGCAGCCACATCGTTCACAGCTGTTGTGATTTATTCCATTTCTTTGCTGCTAAAGTCTCTGTTCTTCATCTTCAAAGCCATGTCTGTGAATAACCAAGTGTAGGAAGTTAGAGCCTATATGTATATTTACATTTCACATACGTTTGCACAGGAGAGCTGCATCACGTTTATGGGGATCAGTTACGAACATTTACTGAAGTTAAAAATGTTGTTAAATCTGATGTTTAGCGTTCGAAGAGAAATTTAAAAGAAGTGAAAATGCTATTTCATGAGGCCCAATAAGACTATTATGAATGTAATATCTAGACTGGATTCAGTGAATGAAACATAGAGCTCAACAATCAAAACAGGGTTGCAGCAAAGAAGACTTTAATCTTTGATCAAAACATGTTTTTTAAAAATCTGTATAGATGTTTAAGAGAGCTGTTTATGATTGGTAAGGATTTTCTTAAGACAGTATATCAAAGCAAATAAATGTTTAACTGTAGCCCATATTGCCCCTACCCTCCCTTAAATACCTAGCATTAATTCCATTGGATAACTGGAAATAAAGTTTACCTCCTCCTGTTGTAAGAGCTTTTGAAATTATCTCATTTTTATCCTGTATTTAAACTGTCAAAATCACTTTAAACAAAAATAGATTTAGTAAAAAAACTAGAAATCCCTCAGAGAGCACAAGCCTCTGCCAAGCAGTTAATTTCACTACCTCAGTGTAAATAAATCTTGGAAAAAAAATCTTTAAACACAGATCATGTTTGAGAAGTTTATATTTTTGGTGCTCTTAAATAGTTTATTTGCCCAACTATCAATTCTCTTTATCCTTTGCAGTTTGGAGCAGCGCAATCTGGAGCTGGAGACGGAGATGGTGGGCCTCCACGAGGAGCTGGACCAGGAGAGGAAGAAGTACACCATGGTGGAAATCAAGCTGCGCAACGCTGAGCGGGCCAAGGAGGACGCTGAGAGGCGAAACCAGATGCTGCAGAAAGAGATGGAGCAGTTTTTCTCCACATTTAGCGACCTCACAGCGACTGGCAACAATGCAGCCTCTGAACAACGCCGACCGGACCGGAACAATACCATCTGGATACAGTGAAAGGGAGGGCTGTGTATATGTGATTACCCATGGGACTTAAAACAGGATTTGGAGGCCGGCTGAAGGAAATTTAGAAGAATGCAAGTGGCTAAAAAGGAAACCATTGTAAATATAGACATCACCTGGTGTGACGTCAGGATTACATTATATTTGTATATAGCATTATTTAAACACCTCATGGACACTATAGCCTTCCCAGAAACTGCTGTGGTGCTCGCCTCACTCGCATCAGGAAAAAACGCCGTCAGGTTGTGATTGCAAATGGTACATTTTATGTTAGCTGTTCGGACTGAATATACGAGCGGAAAAGGTCAAATATGAAGCAACATTGAAAGAAAATAACCTCCAACATGGATCTCCAATAATAATCTTGTCAAACTCCTCACCAATTGGATTCACTTCTTTTTGCTCTGAATACAATCTAGAGAACCATTCTGCGTTGGCTCGTGTATATAGGGGGAATCAATGCCTGTAAAAAGAACTGAATCTAATACTAAATGTTAATATTTAAGCAAAGTTATGATGGGGATATATTTTATATCAGAACTGTTTTTTGTGTTTTTGCACTTCAGTTGGTACTGAATGTTCTGTCAATGTGCATACCATTTAAGTTGGTAGATGTGTTGTGTATTTACTTGTGCTTCTGTGCAGTTACATCTACTCATGACCAAAAAAAAAAAGAGCCTGTTCTGAACATTTTGTTATAGGTGTTTGAGGACACTACTTCTTAGTATGCACTGTTTTTGACTGGTGTTTAGATGACATGGTATCAGTTCAAACTGAATCATTGTAGCTTTAAAAATGCAATTTAATCCTGGCACATTCAGCTGTCAGGAAGACATTTGCATAAATTCATCTTTGACCAAGCATGCAATACTTATTTTGGGCTTTAATTAATGATGGATTTGAACTGAACCTTTTCTTTTTTTTTTTATGGTGGAACAATTATTCAACAAACAACTTTAATGAAATCATAAAAAAAGAATTTGCTACGCTAAATAGAATTATTGAGTTGATTCTCTCTAATCAAAAAAACATACATACCTGCTCACATATAAACATACAATCTCACTATTATCTGGTCAGCAGTCTTAGAGATAAATCTGTGCAATGAAAACAACTAAAGTTTACTAAAGTAAAGTTAGAATATTTGACGAGGAGGTTGGTCAGTGGGTTTTCTAAGTTTTTATTAAAGTCTCCATGTATGTAGGAAACCTGAAAATGTTATGATTACAGTCATAAGGTTTGCTGGATAATCATTCCACCTTTGACAAGGAACAGTTAAAAATCTGTCAAGGGGCCAAACTCAATATAAAACTTGTTAACAAGTGTAAACATTGGATAGGTACTGTCAAAAGTTTAACGTAACAAATTTTTGTTCATATACAGAATTTGAGGATAAAATGCCCTTTTCACTTTAAGATATATGTAGCAAATGTTTGTGGATATTCTAATTTAAAGTCTGACTGAATTAGATGTAACTGTAAAAGATGATTGTATATAAATAAGACACCCATCAGAACTGATGTATGTAAATCGCAGCACAAGTTTAAAGGTTGCAGTTGGATTATTACCAACAGAGCTGTTTTTTAACTGTGAAAATAAATCTGACTCGGCACAGATGACGTACAGTAATTGCAGAGGATGAGTGCATGAATGTGCATGAGTCCAGCAGGGTTTGTGACTTTTTATTCATGAAGTGTATGTATGTAGCCTCAAACCAAATGTCTACAGGCAGTGTGCATCAGCTAAAGGGTCCGCTTAGATGAGGGGCAAACTGCTTTTCCACCAGACATCATACTCCATTTTAAACCTGCTGCTGGTCATTGCAGGACATCTGGAATGTGTAAACGGAAGGGGTGGGAAAAGAAAGCCTGGACAACCAAAGAAGAGAGGAGACCCTCTGCTTCTCACTGGGTGCCCTTCATTGGGAAATAAAAGGCTTTAGCCAAGCTGCTGGTGTCACTTCATTCTGTGAATTCCACACATGAAACAGATTAGGGATTATCAGGATGGTGGATAATAAAACTCATGCAATATCAAATTCTTGTTCCAAGCAACCTTGTGAAGACATGACAGTATAAATAAATGCATTTTCTTTGAGTCCTTTTGGTTCTTGCTTTCACACAAATATGATTTTACAGCCTATAGTTTTCAGTCAGTCACTGATTAATATAGGTTATACAAGATTCAAATATGATCTGCTAAAATATAGATTTGTCCTATTATCTATTTTTTTGTTATCGGAGTCATAGAGATACTGACTAAAATTTAAAAAAGATCAATATCCGACGAATTGTGTGAAATAGTTAAAAAAAAAAAAAGCCTTTAAGGCCCCTCCTTGTTCTACGAATTTGTTCTAGTCTTTTTTAGATTTAATAAAGCTCTCTTTCTAGTAATAAAAACCCTTTTTCTGATCTAATTTGGCTACAGGCTTATTGGCCTGAAAGGGCAAAAAGCCTAAAATGAAAGCCCTGGCAGGTATGAACTTGTTCAATAACTTCTTAGTATATTGATAAATAAAACTGTCTAAGCCTAGGGATTTTAGAAGGCACCACTAGATCATAAGTTTCAATTCTTGTAGGATGACTGTACACTAAATTTTTATAAGAGATCTGGTTTAGACGAAAAATTGCCATTTGCAAATTTACAGCGTTATACTCAAAGGTCCCAAACGTTACTGCAATATTTATTTTATACTGAGCCACAGAAGTCTAGAATATATTGCTTTTCTGCTGCTTCAAGGGTGCTGGTTGGAGGTCTCACTGCAGAAGTCCAGACTACGCTGCAGAATGATGGATTACATAAAACAAGTGATTTGATTACTGTAAAAATAGGAACAGGTTTTGGTATCCATTGTGTTGCAGCTCCTTTTATTCACAATTATATTTATGTGTTCAGTCCAAGATTCTTGTCAAGAACAAAGCCCAATAGTTTAGTTTTGTCAACTTGCAGTATATATTCACCACCAATATTTAATTTTACCTCAGGGCTAGTCAGCATTCCAAGTCCTGACCCAATCATCATATTTGTTGTTTTATTGTTATTCAAAACTAGCCTTTTCCCCCTGATCTAATCATACGCCAAAACAAATTCTGTCATGATCTTGGCTCCGATGACTGGCTTAATGGTTCATTCGAAGCACCTGCCTATCTCCGCCCAGTTTCTCATCACTGTTTATTTTATCCACCTGCTCCTGCCTCTATTTAAGCTGCTTGCTCCCAGTCATCAGTGCCAGATTATTCAAGCC